AGCTCGATTTGAGGCTGTTGTGACCGGAATCTTCCCGCAAATCACAGCTCTCCTAAATTATAGTAATCCAGATGCTCGGAAGGGCGCCATATCTGCATTCTCAGAGATTGCCAAAGAAGGTATGCGTCCTGTTTATACCTTACTATGAAAGCGAATGACTAGTAGTCATTTTTTCAGCTCGATTTGAGGCTCTTGTGATCGAAGCTCTTCCTCAGTTCAAAGCACTCCTACAGGATAAACAGTCATTTGTTCGAATGAGTGCAATATCTGCATTTTCGGAGATTGCCAGGGAAGGTATGTATTCCAGTTTGTAACTAGTTCAACCAATGACTAATGGTCAAATTTTCAGCTCGATTTGAGGGTGTTGTGACCCAATGTCTTCCTCAGTTCATAGCCCTCCTGCACGATGAAGACCCAATTGTTCGATGGAGCGCAACATCTGGATTTTCGGGGATTGCCAAAGTCGGTATGTATGGTAGTTTGTACTAGCTAGCTCAACCTAATGACTAAGAATCATTTTTTCCAGCTCGATTTGAGGCTGTTATGACCGAATTCTTTCCACAACTCGTAGCTCTCCTAGATGATAGTGATCCAGAAGTTCGAGTGAGCGCAGGGTCTGCAATTTTCGAAATTGCCAAAGAAGGTATGTGCGTCAGTTTGTACCTCATGTTTCAACCGGATGACCAACAGCCATTCTCTCAGCTCGATTTAAGGATGTTATGACTGAAGCCTTTCCTCGGTTCATGGCTCTGTTGAAAGAGGGACCTTCGAGTTTTAGAGATTTTGTATCGTTGCGCTTTAGAGTGCTTGTAGACCAAGGTACACATGCTACATTTATCCGACGATTGAACGGCACGATAAACATTTTATTTTTAGTGAAATCTGACACCGCTTTAATTGAAGCCTTTCCTCAGCTCGCGGAAGTCGTGCTAGATGGATGACAAGGATGCTGAATGAGTCGTAGCAATGTATTGTTAGAGCTTCTAAAGGAAAGGTATATATGCTAGCTGTATTTGGAACAGGTCAATGAATTGGGCGTTTCAAGGCGATTTGTGGCAGAAGCTTCCATGTTATGATGCAAAGTTGGGGGAAAGTTACGCCTCGGGCTTGGAGGGAGGGCAAGCTTTCCTATATTTCCTATAGTAGAACTTTGAATGACATTCCTTTGAATACTCTTAACTAGTTCCGATAAGACGCTGAACAAAATAAAGTAGAAAGACATATTTTCGAGTGTTTAAGAGGACCAATAGGAATCATTTCATGAGTCTGATTCTTGGATCCTTTCTTGAGGATTGAAGTTTGGACGCCGCGACAAGACTGAGGTCCAATGTAGTGACAGTAACCAGGAGAATATGCCATGTGCAGTGCTAACATTCAAACCGATGTACGCCAAATACTCCAGCATTTTCGTACAATCAGGTCATGGGAGTGTGTCTTTAGAACCCTCTTCTCGTAACGAACTGTTCAAGATCATGCGACGTAGCGACTGCAATCACAAATTTCCGGTCATTGTCCGTCACTATAAGATTACGAAGTGTCAGTCAGACTCTCTCAAGCGGATGAAATATCATTATATCACACCTAATGCAAAATCATTCTCCTTCAAAAACTCTTCCAATTCTTCCAACTCCGTCCATGGAGTTATAAGCTTATACGGATGACTTGCGCTCCTCTTGAATCGAGACATATGGGCGTCCACTTTATCGTCCTATACCCAGACACCATAATCGCATCAGCTCATGAGTATTGCAAATTAAAGAGAAAAAGAGAAATGAGAGGAAGAACTAACGGGATTTGCCTGACTACTCTCCCACTTCTTCTTCAAGGTCGCTACATCAATATGACCAACAGGACTTCTTGTCTTTGGATGTAGGATCGGGATATGACTAAAGTCTCTATCATATGCTAGCTCAATTGCTCGAGATAGCAGTTCATTTGAAGGCAAGGAAAACGCCGGTGGAAGTTGCAGGTCCTAAGCATTCATCATTGGTCTAGTTTTTCGAACCGAGTTCGGAGAGTGAGAAATGACTCAGTACCTCGATGACAGCTCCTCGATATTTAGATCCTGAAGAAGTTGCGGGTGTAGAGGATGACGATACAGAAGAGGAGACAGGAACAGCAACAGTAGCAGCCATGGTGGTAAGAAGACAAGAGTGTTGTCGGAAGTGACTTGACTGACACGCTTGATCTCCGCATTATGATAAACATCCAAAAATTCCTCCTCTCCAAAAAAAGACAAACGTTCCTCCAAGAAAAATTGGATACAAAGTACAACAGAAAAATGCAGCGAGTACAGTACAGCAGGATTAATACAGTATGAATTATGCCAAGTCCATTCCCAAAAAACAAAGTCCATTATCCTTTCATAACACGAATCCGTTCAAATCTCATTCCACCTTTTCTCATCAAACGTGGATCCATTGTGGATCCGTCTAAACACAAACAACGGCGTTGATGGATTTGCCTCTGGTGGGGCTCTCGGTACGACGGTGGTCTGCTTGACGCATCAACATGGGCGTTCGGAGAGGAGTGACGAAGGGGAACTTACGGGGTCAGGCGTAAAATGTCTTGGTGCATCATGGGGGCAGGGGTACGAAAAACTGTTATGCAGAATATGCCAAAGGCACTCTAAAGAGGAAGAAATTTAGAGCAGGGAGATAGGATTCGGAACTCGAACTGACAAGAAAGCCACGCAACAACCAAACGCCTGCAACTCCTGCAAAACAAACGGCCTTGAACAGGACACTGCCCACCCATACATTCACATCTAGGTCTACTAGAAAATGAAGTTAGTTCTACAGGTCATCTGAAGGCGGGAAAAGGTACGTACTCGACCAAACTAGCCCGGCGGCTCTCCGGAGAATATTCCATAGCCATTCGCCGTGATTAACTTCATGAATCCAACTTGAATTCATTTCAAGTATGACATTCCTTGCACTCTCGTTCACAGCTCCAATTACACCGATCATCTTGTCTTGAAGTTCTACGAGTTCATACTCTATTGTCGCCACGGAGCGAGACAAGTCTGTCAACGCAGCAGATGTGTTTGCGATAGATGAATGTAACATGACTGCGCTTGAGGAAGCGAGAGTTGTGAGTTGCAGAACAGCCTGGAAGAGATTTTCAGTCACAGAAAAAAAAGAAGGGACAAAGTGAACGGCCACACGAACCTGGTGTAAGTCTTGGGTACTTTGAGAAGCTGACATCCAAATCTGCCGAGCATCATCCTGATATACAGTCAGCAAAAGGGATGAAAAGAGGTGGGACTCGAGTCTTACCACTGCATGTACCAAGAAACCAACACTATTTCTCAACTCCTCCAAAGCAGGCTCTGATCCATCACGAATAAGAGTCGATATAAGACCAGGCAGCGTGGCAGACAGGGCGGACGCGTGAATGTCCAGCGAAGCATCCAAGTGTTGAGTCCACTAAGGAATAAATTGGGCCGGGCAGGGATACTCGAGAAAACAAAAACACACCTTGATCAAATTTTCTTCGTGCGTTTTGTGAACTTGATTCATGTGGTGCATTAGGGTTCGTAGGATCTAGGGAAGCCATGTCAGACTTTGATGGAAGGTATAAAAGGATAACAGCACATACATCTTCACTAACTTCTCTACCTCGGAAAACGAGTCTATCCATATCGTCTTTCATTCGAATTGATACTTCATCCATCGTTTCAAGACTGTTGCCTAAAGCCTACATAGGCAAATGAGCTCATACCCAGACATGAAAATAGAGGAAAGTGTACCTTCAGCTTCATGTCCCAATCGGTAAACAAATTCTCCTCATATACTGCTCTTCGAGTAAGATAGTTGAGGAGTATGGCGTTGGACGATGTGATGTTCGTGTAAATTTCCTTGGCCAAATCTATGCTTCCAGCTAAGCAGGTGATAGCATGGACAATGTGAGACAACATACCAACTTCATTCCATTTTTTGTATGCGACACAAAGTTGTGCTAGTAGGGGGATTTAGCCAGTTCGGCGCGGCAGAAGGGAACATGGGCCAAACGTACGGATATCGCGAATGTAGCCCGAATAAGAAGACCAGAATTGTGCGCTTCGAGAAAGAGCTCTGCAAATAGATTAGCGCGAAAGGAAAAGAAACAGGTTGTTTAAGAGAGCATACTCAACACAATCTCTCGCAACGCGCTTCTTGCCTTGTTGAGTGCATTCAAGTGGTGGAGATCCATGGCGGGCAGTGGATATTTCACATAGCGTGAGTTCAATAGATACTGTCGATGGAAACGGTAAATACGACTGTGAAGGCAAGAGAAGGAAAGGGAATGTGTTTACATTGCACGCGACTTTCTTCGTTAGCTGCCAGCTCGTCGCAGCGAGGTTCAATGGCTGCAGCGGCGTGTTTGAAACAATCTGGCGACAGAGGGGTGTACATTTCAGCAGGATTATCTGTGAGATTCCGGAACGTTAGCTTGAGGGAGCTCGTAACAGAAAAAGACGTCACTGACCAGAGGACGAGGGTATGATCAGGTCAGCAAGCTCTTGAATGGTCGGGCCACGTGTAACTCCTTGGAGGGGAGGGAGCAAATGAGACGATGGAAGAAGAACAGTGGAATGAATGGCGCACCAGAGTCGCTTACTCGAGAATTCGTGGGCCGCCAGGAAAAACCGAATACTGTAGAACAGCAAACAAAGCAGAGCAGAGGCAAAGCAGAGAACATATTCAACAGCAACAGAAAGGAGAGTGCGGTGTGCCAAGAGGCATTGATGTCGTAAAGACGCGTGGTGGTGGTGGAAGAGGAGAAATGAGAAGACCCTTTTGACAGGATCACGATTTGATGGCCGCATTGGTTGATAGCCATTCACTCTTTTCCTTTGAGAGCTTCCTCGCTATCTAGTCTGACCGCGCCAACCCTGTTGGACTGCACATTTGTTCATACCAGAAGATTCTAGGGAAAAGAACACCTCCAGCATCTTCAGCAGTGAATGGTTTTGGTTCTAACGCCTTCTGTAAGCACAAGCCCTGACCTTCTTCAACGGCCTGATGGTCTAGTAGTATGATTCCTTGTTAGGGCTATTGCAGCGTATCGAGGAGGTCCCGGGTTCAATTCCCGGTCAGGCCCAGTTGTAACTTTTTCGTACCATCCTCGGCACAAAAATCCGAGTCAGCTTTTCAGCACCGCAAATTCTACTCCGAGTAATCAAGCTATGTGCCCCACCAACCCAGCTCGGTTCTTCCTTCATTTCCACGTTCGCGGGAGCCAGTTGAACAGAGAAGAGATAATGATCTTTTTTTCTTGCCGTCATGTCAGTCTCAGCTCTTCCAGGTGAACTCCAGGGCAGGTTGGCTATCCGTCAAGTTCCAAGTCGCTACTCGAATTCTCAAGTGCTTGAATGGTTGCACCACATTGGATACCCCTCTCCTGACCTCTCTACTTTTGTTCCGAACCTTGAGAACTTGGCCATCGTTACTCGTCTCACTCTGCTGAAAATTCCATTTGAAAACACTGCACTTCATTACACAGTCAGGCTTTGTGTTTCCACGCCAGTGTTTTCTCGTGCTTATAATATAAGTTAGGTCGAGAAAGTCCTCGTTACTTCGCTCGAAGGTCTCTTCGAACACCTCATCGTAAAGAAGCGAGGTTATGGTTCCATTTGCTTCCTCTTGAATCTCTTCCTGCTGGAAATGTTGCGTGGATTACGATACGTACGTTCATTCTCCCTGTCACATTTCTAACGTCTAATTCGGCCCATTGTTCTGTAGCGAGCTTACCTCGGTGCAGGACGAATGAACCGCAGCCAAGGACTCGCACCAGGAACCCCAATCCTCTCCCCCTTACACCACGGATTCGTATTCGTCCAACCATCTCCACCAGGCGGCCTCCAAACATGGATCGTCGATATTGGACGTGGTCATTCAAACCCAGTCCGACCCATTCCTCTAAAAGAATCACCAGACAGTATTATCCCAGGTTCATCACCACCTGAAGAACATCGTCTCATTCGAGCGAAGCATCCAGACAGTTCTTTTGAAAGTCCACCGTTGCGTGGGGAGTGGGAACTACAGATTCGATGTGGGAAGATTACTCAGGGAGAATGGAGAACTATCCTTCATTTCGCGGAAGCGGAGTATTTCGCCAATGACTTTGATGCATGGACTTATCTCGTAGCTCATCGTCCTCCTGGTCAGTCGGAGCTTCATCAGTCGAATGCGTTCTTCTCTGTATATGCGGTTAAAGAAGTGCCTTCGAAGAAGAAGGATGATGAGGGTGGTGATGGGTCAGAGAATTTGGAGAGGTGGGTGTTGTTTAGAGATCAGTTTAGGGTTCAGAAGGGTGAAGAGGTTGAAGTCACTACCTTGCATTCGGAGGAAGAGAGAGTTGAGTTGTTGAGGGAAAAGTTTGGAATTCAGTTGGGTGAGGATGCGGTTGAAATGATTGGGGAGCCAACGGCCTTACCGCGACTACGAGACCTGTCCATATAGTCTCATCGGCAGCCATTTTATTGAGGAGATCCATCCAGTTGGAAGTCACCGATTTGCCGGGGTTTCGACTAACCATGGCTCCCGACGTTTTGAAGTTCCCAGCACTTTAAGTGCATATAATTGTTTTTCTTTCCATCTGCAAACAGGAGTAAAGGCCGTTACTATTATTAGATACGGAAAGACCGAGCAGAAGGTTTGCGACTTATAAGGATCTTCACATATGTACCTGCGTTCATAACACTGCGGTCCGTTTGATTCCTGTCTAGAAAAGGGTTCATTCTTGCCTCTCCCTCCACAAACAGATCTCGTAAAATCATCTCCTTCAGCCCTTTTCACTTCACTCTCAGCTCCACCGGTTAATGCTCGTGCAGTAGGGTGAGTTTAAGGGCTAATGAGCGAAAATCAAGCTCGCTTCCATCACTGTTATCCAGAGTGAGGTGCTCTCTCACAATCACTAGGGACTTCACTCGCTCATTATTGACTGAACTCCAAAGTGAAAGGTGCATGTTTACTGGAAATTCAAGACTATCAAGTGGCTTATTAAAACTGAATCGCAATGAAACAAAAATAACGGATGCTGGGAGGTCATAGGTAGTATATCCGATCCGACTGGCCAAAGCGCGAGTCGGGGACTACATTCAGGAACCACTACGGTATATCTTTGACCACCCTTCTCCAAAAATACATCCGGACAAGTCAATTTTATTGAATCCTCCTTTGGACATAACGTGATGAACTTCTGGGTGAAAAGGTCGTAAAGCGGGCGGTAACCAAAGGAGTTTATGTTCAGCGCCTGCGCGTTCATATGAGGTGACTACCCATCCGTCATCGTAGGTGAAGACGGAGGTAGTCGTTGGGATCAACGAGAGGGAACGTGATATTGAACGGTTTCTTTCAATTAAAGCCAATGAGCGATAACAATTGCAAAATAAAGAGGTTATTGAACGCACGGTGTTGCCTGAGTATTCAGACTGGGCAGATCTTGAGGGAAAAATTTCACTGACGTTACAGGTTCGACAACACCGTATATTCGACAGAAAAATTCGCTTGGTTCAACGTTCCAGATTCGTATCGTACCTCCCCAAGAGCCAGATGCAATCTGGTAGCCGTCAGGAGAGAAGGCCACAGATGTAACACAAGGGTCCTTCGCATCAAAATTATGGAGCCCCTTCCCAAATATGGCATCCCACAGCCTCACAGTTCCGTCTTCAGAGCCAGACGCAAGGAGCTTGCCGCTAGGAGAAAAGGCGACAGAGCGAACAGAACTGCGATGCCCACTGAGCTGATGGAGCTGCTTGCCAGATGTAACATCCCATATCCTCACGGTTTTGTCCTGCTCAGAGCCAGACGCAACTTGGTTTCCATCCGGAGAGAATATGGCAGACAAAATACAACCGTAATGCCCGTTAAGCCGATGAAGCTGATTACCAGACCTGGCATCCCAAACAATCATGCTTTTGTCGGCAGAGCCAGACAAAATTTTCATGCCGTCAGGAGAGAAGGAGACAGACATAACTTCCAAGGTATGCCCGTTGAGCTGACAAAGCTGTTTTCCAGAGTTTGCGTCCCAGATCCTCACAGTTCTGTCATGTGAGCCAGAAATAAGTCGCTCACCATGAGGCGAAAATGAGACTGCCAGAACACGGCTATCATGTCCACTGAGCTTACGGAGCTGCTTTCCAGACTTGGCGTCCCATATCCCCACGGTTCTATCTTCGTATCCAGATGCGACTCGCTTCCCATCTGGAGAGAAAGCAGCGCGCTGAACTTTATTATATTCATGCCTGTAAAACTGGCGGAGCTGTACCCCAGAGTGGGCATCCCAGATCCTCACAGCGTCTGATGCGCTAGACGCAAGGTGTTTACCGTCGGAAGAGAAACTGACTAAGTCAACAAAGTGGCTATGTCCGTTGAGCTGTTGGAGCTGATGGCCAGACTTGGTATTCCAGATCCTCATAGATTTGTCGAGGGATCCAGATGCAATGCGCTTGCCGTCAGGTGAGAAGTTGACCGAGTAGATCCCTTGGTCGTGTCCGTGGAGCTGATGGAGCTGCTTGCCAGATTTAGCATCCCAGATTATCAGGCAGTCCTTTCTGGAACCGCACGCAACTCGCTTCCCATTAGGAGAGAAGGCAACAGAGTAAATGTTCCCCAGGTCACCCCTGTCGAGCTGCCGGAGCTGCTTGCCAGATTTGATATCCCATATCCTCACTGTACCGTCGTCGGAGCCAGAGGCAAGTCGCTTACCATTAGGAGAGAAGGCAATAGTCCGAACGCAGCCATCACGAGGGCCTAACCGGCGGAGCTCCTTGCCAGACTTAATATCCCAGATAATCATTATTTTGTCGTACGAGCCAGATGCAACTCGCTTGCCGTCGGGAGAGAAGGCAGTCACCTGAAAACCACCTGGATGTCCCTTTAGTTGATATAGTTGAATTCCAGAGTTAGCACTCCAGATTCTCACGGTACTGTCGGCAGAGCTAGACACAACCTGCAGACTATCGATAGAGAATGCAACAGATTGAACAGAACCGGTATGTCCGTTGAGGTGACGAACCTGTTCTCCCGAGCTGGCATCCCAGATTCTTATGGTCGTGTCGTCAGAACCCGATGTTATCTGCTTTCCGTCAGGAGATGAAGCAACGCAGTTGACAGGTTCCGTGTGGCCGATGAGCTGACGGAGCTCTTGGCCAGACTCTGCATCCAAAATTTGCACAATATTGTATGAGGTACCACAAATTATCTGCTTGCTATCAGAAGAGAATACGACAGAGTTGACCAGACTTGGGGTACTGATACACAGTTGACAGCTGTCCACACCATCGATTCGACGCGAGATTACTTGAGGAACGTGCTGGAACCCAATTCGCCAACAGCTAAAAATCTGACCTTCCCAGAGGGGAAGGAGTGACAAGTAGAGTTGAGACGTAATCTTTGGAGACATCGAGATGAAGAGGGTGATCAATGCTCCAGCTTCGAGCGCAAGAAGCTGCACAGAATTGGACCTTGACAGGAGATGCAGGCTCTACAAGTGTAACAGGTGAACGAAGGGCCGCCGGCACAATCAAGTACTGACCGTTGATGCAGAAGCGAATTCAGTAAAAATGTCTCGACAATCTCTCACATGTCCTAGCAAACTCATCGCTTCGATCCAGAACAATCCTTTCTCCTTGATAAGACGATGAATAGCGGAACTCATCGCCTTCTGCTTGTCGCGATTACACCGCTTATAATGACCCCACCAATGTTGACACGCGTAGGCAAGCAAGGGACCAATAGTAAGGATCGGAGGGTCCAAATCCTCATCTGGGGTGAAAGAAGATTTAATGTCGCAGATGTTAAATCTAAGGCCCTCCTGCAGGTACGAAATACACGATTGACCCAGTGTAGCATGAATGTACGGGACGTTAGACTTGAATGGTCCGTCTGACTGGGAGTTCACGAATTCTTGAAACGATGCATGGACAACATAAATCGGGCCGTCGGCAGTTGCACTAAAAAGTACGGAGTGAAGGCTCTTGACGAGACGCATAACATCGGCGACAGTGATACCAGGTACCAGTTTTGCGACCACCTGGGCTGATGTTGGTTCAGCTGTAGAAGTAATTGTTTGGAGAATACGCAGTCTGCGGTCGAAAC